CTCAAACCACTTCCCATTCCTGAAGCACCTGCACAGTCAGTGTCTATAGACTTTACTGATCTGGGTAGGACCACACCTCGTGGTATGCGTCAGGTTATGGTGTGCGTTTGGAGAAGAGGTTAAAAGAGCCCTAAATCTTCAGGATTTTTTCAGGGTCATTGTAACAAACGTCCCATACCTTTTACGCCAAACTTGTCAGCAGTGCACACCAAATAAGCCAAAAAAACAAAGAAAATTAAAAATCATGCAAAATTCACTCTTTTCAGTTTTCAGGATTTTCGAGATTTTTCAGGGCTGGCCAAAACAGTGAACTCCAAGACCCCAACAAACACCAAACTTGGCACACACAAACCTTGACCAAAAAWAAAACAGGGAAAAAAAAAAAAAAAAAAAAAAAAAAAAAAACCTGGAAAAAATGATAAAAAAAAAAAAAAGAAAAAAAAAAGAAGAAAGAAAAAAATACTACCTGTTCGCAACCCATCACAGCTATATATGTCTAAAAAAAAAAAAAAAAAAAAAAAAAAAAAAAAAAAACCTGGAAAAAATGATCTCCAATGCACTTTTCAGGGTTGGGGGTGTTCCCTTGGGGCTGAAAAGTGTGGGTCACTATTAACCTTTGGTGAGCGTTTCGTGATAGGTGGGTCACTCATCATGGATCACCCACCTCTATTGTCAGTGATCGAGATCCCCGTTTTTGCAGCCATGAATGACAGGCCTACTGCAAGGAGTACCTCCATTCTTGCTTGGACATGACATCTGGTCGTCATCCTGAAGCCAATGGTCAGGCTGAAGTGATGAACCAGATCCTGTTCCAGCTGCTGCGTCCTATGATTAGTCCAGATCAGCAGGACTGGGATCTCCATCTAGGTCGTGCACAACTTGTGTATAACACTTTTGTACACTCCTCCACTGGTTTTACACCCTATCAGTTACACTGGGGTCGTGAACCACGTCAGCCTCTCGATGATATCATCGATAAGGCTACTCCTATACTGACACCTGAAACTGCAGAGTTCACCAGACGATATCATATAGACATTGAGCGCGCCCATGCCAATCTGCTCAAAGCACATAAGGCTATGATCCAACAGGCTAATCGGCACCACCGCCCGTCTACCATTCGCACATGTGACTAGGTCTGGGTTCTCAGTTCTGAGTTATCCCGGAAGGAGGACATATCACCTAAACTGTTGTCACGATACATGGGTCCATGGCAGGTTTTAGATACAGTGGGGGCTGATCCTTTTGGAGCATCTTATGTTATTGATTTCCCCTGCATCTACAAACCTACCCTGTCTTCCATGCATCTAAGTTGTTGCGCTTTACCTCAGCTGATGCATTCCCAGTCAGACCCCCTCAATTTGGTCCACTGATCCTGGGAAGGGATATGAAGTGGAGAAGATTGAGGATGAGATGGATACTGGCTCCGATGTCCAGTATCTTGTGAAGTTCATGTACCAGCCTCGTACTGAAGATCGCTGGTTCACACGTAAGGAACTTCTCAAGACAACAAAGTTAGTTGTCCTAAAATATGAGCCAGCTAAAAAGGGATTATACCCTCGAAGATCTGCACGACCGCAGGTCCTCGCTCCGGGGGAGGGTCGGTCTGCAATGAGTTGCTGTTTCCTGCCGCCGGTGACCCATCGACCCGAGGCTGTAACATAGGTAGGTTAGATTCGTTATTTTGTTTGGCTGAGGGCTAACTGATAGACTTGCCTGTCAGGGAAATTCGTGAGGGACATATTTGCATATTCGGGAAAAATATAGGGCCGCACTAACTAGAATTTCCTACAGCTACCCTAACTGCGAATAGCAGGCCCGGGCTACCCCTAGGACAGACAGACCCTAAAGGCCTACACTGATAGATGGTTCTATAGCCTATAGCCTGGTAGGGAGAGGTCCTAGAGGCCGAAACTAAAAGGGTACCGGTCGGACCGGTCAGTCCGGTCTAGGTCTAGGCTAGAGTAGGGAAGTTCTCTTAATAGATTGTAGACATCTATACGGGGCTTTTGGCAGTTGGTACCATGTACGTCGCTGTTGTGCAACGCATGAACTGGAGTGGTGACAGCCAGGGTTGTCAGGCGGGGGCCCCCGGGGGCAAAGCCGGGGTAGGGGTTCGACCCCCGGACCCCCGCCGCCGGGGTGCCCCACCCCCGCCCACCACAAAACACCCCCGCCGGCGCCCCGACACCCGCACCCTCGGACCCGGCACCCGCAC